GCTCTGAGTGATATGGTGTTTGCATCAGAGGTTGTTGAATTTTTTGAGGAATTAGAGTTGGATTGAGTGTTTGGCTTTTGTATATTCGGTTCTTCGTTTTCTGAAACAAGAAAAAAGTTATTACTTATGTTTTTATTCAACTGCCAAAAACCTTTGACGTTAACCAGTTACTCCTGCGTGTACCGTAAATTTGAAATCAAGGAGAAGGTTGCAAAGAAAACTTTGCCAATTATAGTTTCTAAACCCGAAGTACTTCAAATTAATCCCAAAGAAACGTGAGTTTCAGTAGAGGTTGCAGATGTAAATTGTATTTTAAGTACTAGAGGTGCTTGAAAGAAATTATAGGTTAGACTAGCTTAGAGTTTTGTTAGTAATGATAACATGCTTCAGTGTGTTTAGAAGTTTCAGTCATTCAAAAATGATAAGTCCAGTTATCTTTTTACACTGACCTGTGCTTTGGTTACCATAACGTTTCCATTCAAACTAAAGAAGTAGTTTTTATGCGAACAGTTTTATCTTAAATTTAAAAGATTTTTACCTTAAGAACAACTTTTGACAACTTTTTCCACGAAATTTTTAATAAATATAATGTGATGATCAACACTTAAAAATACCACAAAATTTAATTACTTGTCCCTTTGACCTGGAAAACATGCTAAAAAACTCACGTGGCCAAAATCATATTTGGGTCATCTGTAATAAATAAAATATTGATATTTGTTACTGTTAAAGAGAAGCGGATAACAGCTAGAGTATGTATTAGATAATTCTTTTGTTGGTTTTTTTTCGTAAAAATTCTTAATAATTTGGTTAATAAGGTTTTTCTTCAGTTATAAAAACAAAAATTGAAGCTCGGTAGTGTTGGTCAGATTGTTCATTAATAAATTGTTAATTTTATTTAATTCTATGGTTATTCAAATATGAAAACTTTTGACATCAACTAGTCACTGAATCTGCCTGTATATTTAGAGCTCTTACAATCGTCACTTATTCGGTCACAAATTCTTTCCTTACTTGACTGCAGCAAACATTTTTGCAGTACTTATTTTCTATGTAATGAGAAGTGGAAGTACATTAGCTTCATTAATTTGCGTTATAAAAATCACTGCAAAACGTAAGCAGCAAATATATAACATGCAGACGATAGTTTTTTTAGAAAATGAGACTTGGGTAGACGACAAATTCAGTATTTGATAAACCGGTGATTATACTGACAAATCATCACAGTGTTGTTTAGAAAGTAAGTGTATTCACGTAGAATCAATTGCATTGTTAATAAGGGTAATCTTTTGATAAAAAAACTCAGTGGAGCTTAAGCGCAGTATTGTTATCGCTGTTGGACAATTTGAAAGAAAATGGTAAATGTGGTCATATAAGCTAAATCTAGTTTTACTCCACAGCACACTCGTGCCACTTGCCGTACCCAGTTTCGAATCCATCCCGATTTTCGAGCATTCCTTCGAGCCTAAGTCCCTTTTGTTTACTATGACCTCTTCATCAGAAGCCAGTTCTACTATCTTCACTGCAGCCGATTCAGAATCAGTGATCTGTGAGGCGGCTAAAGCAGCAGTGGTTGAAACGACGCTATGCAAACTTTGCCTTTTAGACGTATCCCTTCGAATTGTAGAACTTTCTTCTGAATGTGCTGTCTCAAAAATCTTTTCAATTTCGGCTGCTAACGATTCTTCTAGATGGTTCTTCACTTGCGGTGTAGCTAAATGTTAATTTGTTATGCCTCTCTGAATCTTTCTAATCTCAGTAAGGTTTTTCTAGCTCCAATGACACTTTAATAATTTGAAAGTATCTATAACAATTCACAAGTAGTTTGCCTTTAGAAATAAAACTTCCTGCTGACCAATTTCAATTTAAAAATTATTTATAACAATCTCGGTGAGTCAAAAAAGTACATTACCGTTGAATCACTGTCATTATTATTACGCTGTTGGTTGTCACAGTGCTAAGAAAATTGCAATTAAATGTCAATTACTGACGCATTGTTTTACATTTTTTTTTTGCAAACTGTGCAGTCATGAAAAACAACAGTAATTAAATCTTTAATGTGCTGTTAACTAAGGTGTTTGAAGTTAGAAGAAAAACATTGAAATGTAATGCTATACCTAATTTGTAAGGACTACTGCTTGTGACGATTAGGTGAATTTATATTAGTGTCGACTCACAAATAATTTATTGGTCTTACCTTCACAAGTGCTGTCTATTTTTGGCGATTTCACTGTTATTGAATCATTATGTTCATTTTCTGTTACGCTATGGGGACTATCGCATTTTTGAAGCTGCAAAGAAATTTAGTCATACAAATTACTCTAGCTTTGCAAATGTTTCTACAGTTTGATGTCCCCACCACTGCCCACATTAAAACAGTGCTTTCAATAGTATTTTTTAACGCATTTTTCAAGTTTTCATTCTAAATGTTTGAAAAAACTTTAATTTTCGAATCTTGACTTTTTAAACCAGCAGTGGAAGACATGTAAGAACAGAGCAGAGTTTAGTTTAAAGGAAAGTCTTAACAGACAAGTTGCCTTCGTCTTCCCAACTCTACAAAGAAAGGCATTTTACCTTTCATTTCCCCACATTCTCCATTTTCTCCCTTTCCAACCTTTTCTGTCATTTTGACGTAGCCGCATACAGTCCTCATTATACCAAAACAGGTTGTTAGAAGTTGCTCTTATTATGAGCTGGTACAATTTTTGGTGTTGCTGACAAAGTAATTTTTCCAGAACTTTTCCAGCAACTACTTTTCTGCTCAGAATTTTTATGTTTCGTCCTTGTCGTTACCTTTCTTTTTTGCGTTATATTGAAGTGCCACTTTTGACTAAGAGTATTAGAACTAGAGGTTCCAGAAAATCAGAAGTTTGGAGCCCTTCTTGTTTCCAACCTCTATGTACCTCTATGGTGCTATGTACAGCCTAACCTTCTCCATCACCTCTGTTTTTAGTAAGAAAAACAACATCCCTATACGGAGGGCGAAAATCCCATTAAGCAGTAGTAATCCCGAAACACATACCCAACCGAATTCTCGTCAGCACAACATGAGGACAATTATAGCAAATCTTCACGCCAGAAGTACTTTCAATTAATTCAAAAAATGATTTTGAAAGTCAACAAACAAATGATGTAAATTTACATGCGCAGCACTATTGTTGCTATAACTAAATCACAGATGAATTTTTCTACTCATGCCACTCATTGAATAAATCTCCATATGAACAAATAAGAATGCCCAAAGAATAAAAATTAGCAAAAACAGTGTTCCAAACTTATTTTATGAATAAAATTGACTTACATTAGAATTCGTTGAGGAACGTCTTGAAGTACTACTCCATGAACCGCTCTCAAACGGCTCCCTATTACTGTCGTAGTCCGATGTTGTGCTTGTACAACTTAACCATTCTTTCAGTCGTTGGCTGTTTCGGTTACTGCCATTACATGGGTTCTTTCTGACTTCGTCGTTATCAAAACTAAGCTCTTCAAATTCGACTGCCGCAAGAGGAGTTTTTGATAAATTTCCCTAGATTGAAATCACAAAATTGACCTGCGTACATTTATAGCAATCGTTAACAAAAGAAAAGGTTTTTTTGCGTTTGTACCTTCAACCTCTTTCTTTTTCAACATAAGTCTTCCGTGAGCAAGACTGAGCCAAAAAAATATTACAGCACTAAAATGAATCCACAGAAACGAAAAAACTAGACCGCTCAGCTGTTTTAAATGTCAAAACAACGCAGCGCATAGTGGACAGTTGTAAGCTGTTACTTTGAAAATTTTTGAAACACATATACAGCTATGGTAATTTTTTAAATGTGCTTGCCTAGTGGTAAAGCTTCCAATTTGTCTGAACAAAACATTTTGTTTAAAGGCTTTATGAAATATCATGTAGAAAAGCTGTCAAAATCAGCTACATTTTTCTCAAATGTCTTTTGCAAATTAGTTTACCTTTGATTGTTTATTAGCAGGTTTTTCTTCGATAACCTCCTCATCATCAAAAGGTGTATTAGCTAATTTTGTTGACAAGTCGTCTCTCCTAAAAGCAGCTAAAATGAGCAACATTAAAGGCACAGAGTTTAGCAAAAAACGTTGCTCAGTGAAAAACTAATTGTAATTGTAAAAGAATGCCTAGAAAAGTTTCTTCCACTTATACCGCTGACACCACTTGAAGAGCCCAAACTTGATGTGGTGCCTTTTGGTATGGCCGAATGACCTCTATGTCGGTCTCGGGCAGCATGATGACTGCTACAGGAGTCATCAGAATCGCTGAATGAACGAGATCTGCAACACGAGCCATTTCATTTTGAATGTCAATTAGATAATCCTATCAATCAATAGAGTTTGCTAAACTTTTTACTAATAATACTGGTAAAACTGTATGAAGATATAGCTTCGAATGGTAATCGAAAATTATGATGTGTAAATGACGAAAATTTCTAATAGCTTAAGGTCTGAGACTTTTTTTTGCTTATTTAGCATTTTATTACAGCCAAAAGCAGAAAACTTAATAAGTGATAAAGATAAAAAATGTCTCTTTCTGATTGCTATCATCTAAATTTGAATTGACAGCAAAGAAAAGGTACAACCTAACTAATTATTAGACGATAAAAGAAAAAAATAAATAGAAAAAAACCTTCTATGTGATCGCTTCTCATGTTTACTGCAACCATTCGGTGGTGCTGTCAACGCCAAGGTGCTTGCCAAACGAGCTATTTGTCCAATTTGGTGTAGTGCGGGCACCGATCCTGACAGCTGTCTAAAACGACAATAATCAAATTTAGAGAAATAGAAGGTAGAAGAAAAAAATTATGAAAATAATTTAAAAAAGATACTTTTGTCAGACATAAAAAACATTTAAAAAAATCACGTAATGTTATTTGTTTAAAACACTAATTTAGAAGAAACTATAGTCTATTTGCCGGCATAGTACTGTATAGAGTAAAATTTAAAAAAAAACGTATTATGTTGAAAAAAAAGTGGAAGAGTTTCATCAATTTTCATCAGTTTAAGGAATTCACTAACTGCGTGTTAGCCTGTTGAACAGCTGCAGCTATAATTTGACTAAGTGCAGCCTGCGAATAGACTTCTGCAGCTGTTGCTGATGGTATTATTGTTGCTTGACTAGCTATCCGTGGTAACTGTAGTTCGTCTACAGAAAGTAA